TTCATACATTATGATTGATCTGCTGAATCGCAAAATCCAACCATTACCATTAGGAATAAAATGCCTACAAATCAAGACTCCATTTCTTGTAAAATCCCCAGCTTTAAAAAAAACTTACAAGCCAGAGTCATTCAGTCAACACCTTGAAGGATTTTTCTCTTTTAAGTACCAATATGCTGTGTAGTGTCTGCTAGAAACCATCCGATTCCCCATGGATCCAGCTGATTTGCTTCCCAACCCACCTCAAAATAACTTCCTGCCCACGTACCACACTTCACCTGCCTGCGCTTTTGTTTCAGGAACTGTGTATGTGCTGGCTGCAGGGCTCCAGGTACTGTGTGCCTTTATATATTTTATACATTGCATTTACTTGTACCATATGCAATGGCACCCTGTTGTTTTTAATGATTACCAAACAAAAGAATTCTGAGACACCATACTGATACACTGATGAATGCTGAACTGTTACCTTGCTGTCATGATGTACTTCCTCTGGATCTATAAGAATTTCTTTTCATCATATGATTTCTGACATTATCACACACAAGCTTATCGAGCAATCTGAGCCGGACTGGAATCAGAAACTAATAAATGTTAATGTGTGTTGTTTTTAAGATATAATCAAGTAACTACTATACTCAAATCATGTCCAACCTCATCTGTTCTCCCACAGTGTGTTAAAATGAAGTGGCAGCCTATGGAAGTTTAAAAGACACTGTCCTCCAGTGCCAACTTTACTACCAGTAAGTTATTTAAATAAATAAAGTGCATCGAAAGCATGACAAAAAATAAAAAGCTTCCCAAGTCATGGTCACACATTATTATTTATTGCAATATTACGAAACAAATCACGTAGTAACGTGGTTGAAAGCATTTATCAATATTAGATTTCAACTTTTAGGTCATACTGTCAAGCCATTTATAAAAGTAATAGATATTTAAATGGTTACTTAATACAATCAACTTGATAGAAGCCAAAGTGAATGAATCAAAATTCACTGCTGGTTATGCATTTGGACATCCAATCCTGGAAAAATGTGAAACATCGACGAATGAACATCAACTCTTGGTCAATCCTCAAATTAATCTTGCGAACCATGACTTTGTCTTTTAGACAGTGTTCTCCGATCTTGCAAAATAACATAAAGAGAAGAAAGAAAAAGAAAAAAATCCAGTGTAAATCCATAGAAATCTACATACCTGAATATATCATACGGGCCAACTTCCAAAACACATATGAGAGAAATCACTTACCGAATTCTGAAGGAGAAATCTGATATTGTGCTGTAAGAGTCTAAGGGCAGTGCGTGGTTCAACAGCAGCGTCTTGATCGGTGATTTCTGCTGAAACTAATGTCTTCAGAAGCTCTTGAGCAATGAACTCTTTACAGCTGCACATCTGAAAGAAAACAGGCCCAGTCTTGCTCAAATCTATGGCATCTCGACATACAAATTTCATTTTTTTTTTTTTCTCTATAGGCCTGTTAAGGTACCCAAAACTCACCTCCCCGCTTTCAATATGCAGATTCGGTACGTATATCACATTCATGTTCTTTAAAAGATGCAGAAAATAATGATTATTTATAGTGTAAATGCAGAATAAGATGTCATGAATATGTTCATAAAGCATAGTACTTACAAATGTGAAGAGATGTGCATAATCCATGAGATCTCGAAGGTGATAAAGTGCCTCACGTATGGTGTCATCCCCATTACCCATCTGCTGCAATGCTACAAAGAAAAACAGCTGTGTGTTTGAAATGCTAAAATGAGTCTCTTATACTCACCAAGGCTGCATTTATTTGATTGAGCAATACAGTAAAAACAGTAATAGTATGTATTACTAGAATTTACGTTCAATTTAAAATGACTGTTTTATAATGGCTGCTGAAAATTAAGCTTTGCGCTAAATAAATGCCATCAAATATATAGTGTCTCTTCTTTTTCATATTAAGTGCGATTTGATAATCTTCCGTTTTCTATAAACCTACTTAGAAAACTGCAACCTACCTAGAACTAAACTGAACGTCCTTACAGTTATCAAACAGCAGCGAAACACCACCACCAAGTGGACGGGTGTGGTATAACAACGACAATAAACTTCCAATGGAAGGTATCTGCACTCCAGATAAATCATAAATGTGAATATAAGCAACAGGATATGCCAAAATCACGGTGATTTTGAAACGATATATTTGGATAAAAAAAATAATAAATTGTAGCAAATTAACGATATTTTGTCGTTTTGACAAACCACCGTGATTTAAAATGTGACTCCACGGACCAACAAAGAACACGCGTCAAACTTTTCTCCGGCTCCACATTGTCAGGATTAAATTACATAACGTAGATCCAGCTTTAAAGTACTTACAGACAAGAATCAGCATGAGAAGGAAGGTTGTGCAGATCTGAGCGATTGTGTGTGGAGGTTTGCAGGTCTAGTGGACTAAACATCCCACTCATTACACCATGAGCCTTTGAAATCCTTGAAGAGTGAAACAGTCCGACCATTTCACACATGCTTAATGTTTTTCAGGGCCATATTTACAAACCTAACTTTGGTAGTATTAATGTTTAATATACTGAACTAACAAGGCGGTTTCCTCAGGAAAGTTGCAGCTCATGACATACGCATTTGATATGTTTTCATAAGCTGAACTACTACTACAGCAAATCCTGTTTCAATATAAGCAATAATATGAGTGATACTACAAAATACCCTATTTGATTATTCAGCTGTAGTATTTCAGTAAAATCAAGACAAGTTAATTAAATTAAATTGCACGTGTGTGGTCACAGCTGGGGCTTCGGAGGAAATAAGTGAATATCGTTTCTTTTGCAATATTATGTAATTATAAATATAATTACTTGTATTTCATTTATTCGTTATTAAATGGAAATGACCGCTGTGCATGTTGGGATTTGTAGTTTTATTTGAGGGTGAGTTGAATGCGGAAGTACGTCACTGCGCCGACGCGGGAAACACACGATTGAGTGCGTGCAGTCAATACAAACCGGAACTTCTGTTTACGTGGCGTTTACTGCTTTATTTATCCTGTGTGAGGTATTCTAATAAAACGCTATGCTATTCTATATCAATGTTAATGTTTTTACACCTTTGCTAGCACTGCAGCATTCTAGAACGACTGCATTATTATATGAATGTATTATGAAACTGCATATGCCACTTGTCTAAGTAGTTATTTTGTACTGTCTAACGTTAATTAACTTCACTGGATTTCGTTAGCATGGCAAGTGATAGACAATATCATCTTCTCGTTCCTGTTATTTCAAATGTAAAGTTTTTTTTTCCATTATGTGCACTGATTTTCACTGCACTTAATTGTATATCGTTTCAAGGCTACAAGTCGAAGCACTGGTCCAAAATGTCTAAGATTGAAAAGATGAGTATCCTGGGAGTAAGAAGTTTTGGAGTTGAGGATAAAGACAAACAAGTGATCACCTTCTTCAGCCCTCTGACGGTCCTTGTGGGACCTAATGGAGCTGGAAAAACGGTTTGTATATTGCTGTCAGTAATTATGATACTGATAAAATGTAAAAAAGAAAAATTCACATAAGCAATACGAAAACCTGATCATTTAATATA